CCTCTACCAACTCAATCCCCACTGGTTTTTGCAGCCAGCAGCTGTGGGGACTTACCTTTCTGGTACTGGAACCCTGGACTAGGGGGAACTGGTGTGGGGCTGGGACTCCTCACTTTCAAGATAACCCTCCTGAATTTTCATCCACCACATGTGGGTGTGGGACCATTCGGTTCCATATCTGCGCCTCTCCTACTGGTCTGGATGGATATAGTTTCTTTATTCCATAGTTGTCAGACTTCCATTCAACTTGATTTCTGACAGTTCTGAGTGATGATGGTTCTATATTTTAGTTGTAATTTTTATGTGGTTGTGCAAAGAGGTGAGCCATGTCTTCCCATGCCTCCATCTTGACTGGAAGTCCCAATAATTTTGTTTTCATAACTGTGTCATTAAACTCCAGGAAGAAACTCTATATTTAAAACCAGTCTTCCAAAAACTTACTGAATTTTTGATGTTAAAAACACATCCTCCTTGGTTAAATTTATTCCTAGGTATTTTAGTTTTTCTATTTTTGATACAACTGAAAACAGGATTGTTCTCTTAGATTCCTTCTCTGATAGTTCATTACTGGTGATAAAAAAATGCAACTGACTTCTGGTTATTTATTTTGTATACCACTACTTTATTGAATTTATAAGTTCTAGTAACTTTTTGGGAATAAACGCAAAATGTATTAGACATAAATGTAGAACTTGAAACCATAAAACTCCTAGAAGAAAACACAGGCAGTAAAAATCTCAGACATTGCTTGTAGCAATATTTTTTTTCTGATATATTTCCTTGGGCAAGGGAAACAAAAGAATAAATAAATACATGGGACTACATCAAAGTAAAGTTTTTGCCCAACAAAGAAACCATCAACAAAATGAAAAGACAACCCACTAAATGGAAGAACATATTCACCAATGATAACATCTGATATGAGGTTAATATCCAAAATTTATAAAGAACTCATAAAATTCAATATCAAAAAAAGAAAAAAACAAAAAATCCAATTAAAAAATTGGTAAAGTACCTGAATAGATACTTTTCCAAAGAGGACATACAGTGGTCAATAGACACTGAAAAGGTGCTCAACGTCACTAACCAACAGAGAAACGCAAATTTAAAACCACAATGAGATATCATCCCACATCTATCAGAATGGATATCATCAATAAATCAGCAAACAAGTGTGGCAAGGATGAGGAGAAAAGGGAACCTTTGCGCGGGTTCCCAACTGTTGGTGGGAGCGCAGATTGGTGCAGCCACTGTGGAAAGCAGCGTGGAGATACCGCAAAAAATTAAAAACGGAACTGCCTCATCACCCAGTGATCCCACTTCTGGGTAAATATCCAAAGAAACCCGAAACACTAATTCAAGAGAATATATGCATCCCTGTGTTCATTGCAGCATAATTTACAATGGCCACAATACAGACGCCAAAGCACCCATCAACAGACGAGTGGACAAAAAAGTGGCGGTACATATATATAATGGAATATTAGTCATTAAAAAGAATGAAATCCTACCATTTGCGACAGCATGAATGGACATGGAGGGTATTATACTAAGAGAAATAGACTGAGAAAGACAAATATCATATGATTTCACTTGTATATGGATTCTAAAGAACAAACTAAGCAAACAAAACAAAAAGAGGCTCAGAGATACAGAGAAGACTTAGGGTTGTCAAAAGGGAGGGAGGTTAGGGGACTGGGTGATAAAGGTGAATGGACTGAGAAGTACAAAGTGGTAGTTACAAAACAGTCATGGGGATGTAAAGTATACATAGAAAATATAGTCGATAATATTGTAATAACTAAGTAATGGTGCAGGTGGATACAGGAAATATTATATTGGGGGAACACTTTAGTGAAGTATATGATTAGCTAACCACTATGCTCTATACCTGAAACTAATACCAAATATTGAATGTCAATTGTAATTTTAAAAAATTTAAAAATATATATCCTCACTGCAATGCGCTTTTCATACAACCCTAGTAATAACAGAGATCTTAATAATGGGCAGTAAAATCAACCCAGCAAAATAACTGACATATTAAAAAAAACATTTAGAAACATAAGTATCATCTGAGTGGCCTGGGACCACCCTGCTCCTTAGGCCCGGCTCTCACCAGTCCACACTACTCTGCTGTGCTTGGATTCTGGATCAATAAACAGAATAGGCAACAGGAATCTGGGCAGGAGCAGTCACCAGAACCAACCATCAAATATACATGGTATTCTACATCAATATCCTTTTCACCTACTTCTACCCAAATTGGAGGCAAAAGTTCAATCACAATGATAGAAAAATAAATAAATTACAAAGGCCTTTGTCAAGAAAAGAAAAAACTGAAATTCCTGTGGGAAAAGTTCTGAAACCCTCCTGGGATGGATTCAAGCTTCAATGTAAGATATGCTGGGGTAATACTAATTTAAGTATACATTCTAATAAGTAAAATTATCCTGAGGCTAAATTAGATCACAATTATGACATGTGAAAGAGCATAATGGTCAATCTCTGCAATGCCATACTGATACCTTTTTTATTATATGTATAATGAAAATGATACTATATATAGATATAATATATATAATGAAATGATAAATGGTAACATAATTACACTCTTCCCATTTTTTTTTCCTCCACTCTTCCTCCAATGAAGAATATGTTTCTATACCTTTCCATGGCTTTACCTCAGAAGGACTGATCATAAGGAATTACCGATTGCTTCAAATTTAAAAATATTTATTAAGGCCTTCAAATTACTGAAATTACAACAATAAGTAATTCTCAGCAAAGAAGAAAACCATTAAATAAGTATAGAAAGGGACTTCTAATTTTATACATTTGAAACTCGTTTCATTCTTTTGCATCACTGAATATCAATCATTTCCCTAATAGACTTATTGCATCATTTAGCAAAGCCATTAGTCAAAGCTGAAAGTTTTAAACAGCTTTATTTCCCTCTATCCTTAAATTATTATTATTTTTTTTACTTAAGGGGAGAGTTGCTTCACACAGAATTGGAGAAAATATTTGCAAATCATAGATACAGAATATATAAAGAACTTTTACAATGCAATAATAAAATGACAACTCAATTTTTGATAAGAGCAAAGGATTTGAATAAACATTTCTGCAAAGAAGATATATGAATGGCTAATAAGCACTGGAAAAGATATTTGACATATTAGTTACTGGGAAAATGCAAATCAAAACCACATTGAGATACCACTTCATAACCACTTTGATGGTGATAACTAAGATAATAAAAAATGTTAGTGAGGACGTGGAAAAATTAAAACTCTTATACATTATTAGTGGGACTATAAAATGATGCAGACACTTTGAAAACAGTTTGGCAGTTTCTCAACATTTTCACTATAGAGCTACTACATGAACCACTAGAAGCCTGTACATAAATATTCATAGCAGTATTATTCATGATAGCAAAAAAAGTAGAAGCAACCTAAATGTCTAAAACTGATGAATGGAAAAAGGGTGGTGTATGTATACACATACATACACATACACACACATATTATATATATAATGGATTATTTGGCACTAAAAATGAAAAATGCACTGATACAAGTTACAACATGGGTGAACTTCAAAATAATTATGCTAAGAGAAAGAAGCCAGTTACAAAAGACCACACATTATATGAGTCTGTTTACATGAAGTGTCCAGAACAGGTAACTTTATATAGTAAATAAGTGAGTGGCTGCCCGCAGCTGGGAGGGAGTAGGGACTAGGAGGAAGGGGGATGGGAAGTGATTACTAAGAGGTTTCTATTTGAGGTGATGAAAATGTTCTAAAATTAGACTGTGGTAATGACTGCAGAACTCTATACCAAAAACCACTGAGTTGTACACTTTAAATGGATGACTTTTATAGTATGTAAATTATAGCAATAAAACTGTTAAAAAGTGGCCCCGGCTGGTGTGGCTCAGTGGATTGAGCAGTGGCCTGTGAACCAAAAGGTTGTGGGTCAGGGCACAGACCTAGGTTGCGGGCCAGGATCCCAGTTGGGGGCGTGTGAGAGGCAACCACATATTGATGTTTCTCTCCCTCTCTTTCTCCCTCCCTTTCTCTAAAAATAAATAAATAAAACCTTTTTAAAAATATCGTTAAGAAAGTAGAGGAGAGTGCAATAATGTATTGCATTTCTTGGTATCTTTGAAGACTGACTAGTCAGACTGCCTAGATCTTTTATCACTTAAAAAGAATTGTTTCCAGGTTTAGATCTAATACTAAACAAGCCAAGAAAAGTGTTATCAAGGGAACTGAGCATCATTGAGGGTCCTGGAGATAGCCCCAGAAAATCAGGTGCATTTTTTAAAAACGTGTGTACTAAAATAAATCCAGAGTAGAGGTCTGTGCAAAGGCCTTAGCAAACAATGAGCAAACATTTCTCAACCTAAGATTCAATTAAAAGAGGTAGTACAGCAGCGTTCGTTCCCCAGTGCACAAGAATCTGAACCCTTAAGGTCCTAGGGGGACGGCCGCGTAATTAACCAGCATCTCAGAGCTTGAGCAGTAATCTGCGAATACCGAAAGGCAAAAGCACTCAAGGGCAGCTTCTACACGTGGGTCCGCTGCCTTGCATCCTAAACTGTGGATGCACCTGTGTAGGAGACTGTGCGCGTGCCTGGGCACTTAAACTCACATGCCCAGCACGCTCAACCTAACCTCCCAACAATTTTCCAGGGCACCGCCGCGTACACAGGAGAAAAGGAGGATGGTCTCGGATGCGCTGGCGATCACAGGACCGAGGTTGGGGCTTGCCGGAGCAGCAAGGGGCATCATGGGGCGCCTACCCCCACCCATCCGGGGAGGGTCTGTTCGTCTCGCAGTCCCTTTCTCGCGCAGGGCACGCCAGCCGGCGAACGTCCCCGGGCTCCAGGCCGCAGGGCCGCCAACGTCCCCCGGGATCCCTGCACTGCGATGCCCGGGTGGGCGCGCGGCGCCCGACACTCCTGCCGCGCCACTCTGTCGGCTCCTACCTTCCTCCTGCACCATTTCCAGGACGTTCGGGTCGCCCATCTTCGCCAGCTCGTTAAAGACACTAAACGAGGAGATAGAATACAGCAACTGGCGGCCAGTTCTCGGGGAGAGATTGAATGTGATCGTGGGCCGCTGGACTACGGGCTCCGAAGAGGCGGTGGCTTCCTTCCTCTCCGCTCGGAGGGTCTCGGGCTCCTGCCTCTCCGACGTCCCCGGGATATCCAACCAGTTGGGCTTCTTCTCCAAAGGATAATTCCACTTGACCTGCCCCGTGCCCTGGGCCGGCCGCTTCGCGGTCCTCTCCCGGTAGCGCTCCTGGGACCCCTCCCAGTACCTCTCCAAGAACGAGCTGGGACGCCGGTCACCCGGCTTCCTCGCCTCGCCCTCGGGCTTCCCCGGGGCCTTTCCACTCCCGCTCTCCCGCTGCCCTTTTTCTGGCGCGTCCGCTCCGTCCCGCTTGCCCCGCCCCTCACTCCTCCCTCCGACCTCAAGATCCGCCGTCGCCCCGCCCTGAGGGGCCGCCATCTCCCCGCCCCGCGGCCAAACCGGTAGGGGGCCGTCCGAGCTCCACTCTGCTGCCACCTCGGGGCTGATCTCTTCCCCTCCCTCGTCGGTGCCGGCCGCCCCCGGTCCCTCCTCGGGGCCCGCCGCCTCTTGGCCCGTCAGCTCCATTCTCATCAGGCCTTGCTCATCCCATTTCACCGGGTCGGTCCATGTCCAGGACTCCTTGTCCTCCAGGGCTGCCGCCTCCGGTCTCTCCCAACCCTCGTCCTCGGAGCCCTGCCGACCGGCCAGCTGCTCCCTCAGCCAGTTGTCCTGGTCCGCTTCCATCCGCCAAGCCCGCCGCCTTCAGCGCTGGTACTCGGAGGGAACCCCCTCCCAGGTGGAGAGTTATTTTTTGTCGGGTGAGAAAAAGACCCCCTTCCTTAAGGGGACCCTGCCTCTTAAGGCCAGCACCCTCCAAGATTCTAGCAGCCCCTCCCTCCTGCGTCTCCCACGTGGCTATTAACTTCGCCCGGCTTCTGGAAGGGGCATCTCCCCGGCGCTATGCCAAACAGGGTTAGAGGAAGATCATACTTTTTTTTGGTCCTGAATTCGAATTCAGCCTCTGCCCCTAAAAGTTGAGTGGCATTGGTCATGTTTCTGAAAGCTTCAGTTTCCCCATCTTCAAAACGAGGACGGTAGCAGTACCCACCTCTTAGGGATGTTGTGAGGGCTACAGGGTAGAGTGCTGGCATAATATGTTCAAAACTAGCCTCTATCAAAACTGACCCCTGTTACTTTGAGCCCTGCCTCACTTCAAAGTGTCTCAGTGACTTCAGCAGTTCAGTCTCAAGTGGCGTGAATGGGTCCCACTCGTGGCAGGCTCCTCTGAATTTGTTATATGTCTTTGGAGCTCTAACAGCTGCCGGCTCCCTAGTAATTGGGAGATACGAAGAATTACTGTCTAATGGGTGGAAAACACAGGAGCAGCAGTGCACTCTGGGTGAAGTAGAGGTATGAGCTGGAAGGCCTTGAGAGCACTGAGGACTGCATGACTTTGACTTTGGGGTGGGCATGGGATGATTTAAGAATAAGGAGGAAATGATTTGCCTTTTCTTTTTTTCTTATGCTATTCTACTTTTCCCCCTTTCTATGACTGTTCAGAACTGAGAATTACCATTTACAGATAAGGAAAAAGGCGTAGACAGAAGTGTGTTGGTGAAGGTCATGGTTAACTGTGGAACTTGAAATCCCCTTTTTGTTTTTTCTTGTATCGTGCTCTCTGTGCTCTGTTAAACCTCTAGGAACACATTAGTTCTGGTCATGTGATTTGAGACAAGCAATTCCTTTGATGCATTTTGGAATTGTGTTTGAAATGTGAATCAAGCAGTAGACTTACATGTAATTACAATAAATCTCTAGTTATGATGCAAGTGTTTGGTTTTTACCTCTTGATTACTAATCATTGTTTGATTCTAATAAAATGTTTACAACATGATTTGTTTCATGTTATTTCTGTATACTGGGTACTCTGCTAGGTGCTCTGCATATTGTGAGTCAACAGATGAGTGCGCTTTACATAGATTAAAAAAATAAACACAAAATTATTTTTCTGTGATTTCATATGATCATCAGTTTCATAGTCTCAATTCCACACCAAATTTGTCGTGACATATATGAGAAGACAGTTAATGCTCTTGATTTTGCACAGAATTAAATGGAATATTTTGATGCTGAATTGGCTGATATTTTATCAACTTTCTGTAAACTTTGTTATCAAAAAGTTGAATGCTCCTTGTGTACTTTAGATAAAGGTCTGTATCTTATCCACAACTCTGTATTTCTTGAGAAATTTTCTCAGTGGTCTAATCACTGTACTATTTTATGCTACTTATTCATTTGTAACTTTAAGATCTCTTCATGTTCTTTATTACTACACCTTGTTCGACACAGTCTTCAACTATGCATTTTGAGAATTATATTCTAAGTAATGAATACATGTTCTCTTAAAGTAATTGAACACACGGTTAAGTGCAGCAGACTCCCTTACCTGCAGTTTTGCTTTCTCCAGCTACAGGCCATCAACCAAGGTTCAAAAATATTAAATAGCAATTTCTCGAAATAAAACTAAGTTTTAAATTACAAGCTGTTCTGAGTAGCATGAAGAAATCTCGCGCCTTCTCACATGTCACGTGAATTGCCCGCTGCACAATGCCTGCCTGTTAGTCACTTACCAGCCATCTTGGTTAGCAGGTGGACTCTTATGGTGTGGCAGTGCTTGTGTTCGAGTCACCCTTATTTTACTTAAGAATGCGCCCAAAGCTCAAGATTAGTGATGCTGGCAATTTGAATATGCTAAAGAGAAGTCAAAATCTGCATCCTTTAAGTGAAAAGGTGTACGTTCTGGACGCAGTAATGAAAGAAAAAAAGCGTATGCTGAGGTTAATCAAGATCTGTGGTAAGAAAAAAATATCTGTGACATTGTGAAGAAGAAAAAGAAAGTAATGCTAGCTTTACTGTTGCACCTCAAACTGCAACGTCATGGCCATAGTGCATGACGAGTGCCTTAGTGCAAGTGGAAAACACATTACATTTCTGAGTAGAAGACATGAACATAAAAGGTGTTCTCACTGACGTCAACCTGTTGCATTAGAAAGCATTGAGCCTATAGGAACTTCAGCAAGTGATCCCTTGAGACAAATGACACCAAGCCATTTACTGCAAGTAAGGGATGGTTGTGTTGACAGGAGAGACCTGGTTCTTCCTGCTGGCACATGTAAAGAATTACAGATCAGCAAGTCTATTAGCGTGCCATCAGAGTTTATTAGTGATCCCTTCCCATGGAAGAGAATGGGCCTAGCTAGAGTGGGGGGCGGGGGGTGGAAGGCATAGGTTCAGGGCAAAGCAGGGTGGCGAAAGTGAGGGAGACTGAAGGCCAGGATGGCAAGCCCCTGGGTGGCCTGAGGCCAAGTGGCCAGAGAGACAAGAGAGCCAAGAGAGGGAGTCCTTTGTTCTGAGGACTTACACAGTTGGCAGGATGGGAGTAAAAAAATGTCATATTGACTAACCGGTATATGTGGTGCCAGCTTTCCTGGGGGAATATGACAGCCCAAACTTAGGTATGCGCGGGGGTCTGTTAGCCTGAATGCTTACCTTGCTCCAGACCACGTTTGTTCATGTTGTAAGACAGGTACGTGACAGGAGGCAGTTAGTTAAAGTTGGGGCAGTTACCCAAAGTTATTTATGGGCTCTTTCTGTAAGCATTAGGGACTCCCTCGTACAACAGATAGTGACCAGAGGTAGACAACTAACCAAAGTTGTTTTATGGACTTCTTTGGGCACTGTGGATTCTCTCCCGCATTCCAGACCTTGGGATGAAGAAAGCACAGTTTCAAGGCTTTTTTTTCCCAAATAGTGGAAACACTACACAGAATTTCAAGGACTTCTTGCTGACATAGTGTTTCTTATGGTGTCAGAACATCTGGCAATATGATCGGACCAGGCTCAGCACTGCTGAGTTGGCGGATGAGACATGTCTCCCTCCTCCTCCCTGCCTTGGTTTGCCATGCATTGTAGCTAAGTGATAAAAGGCATTTCCTGGCAACTAGGATGCTCGACGCTGGCCAGTAATAGCAGCGCAGTCTCAGAGTTCTTCCTATGCTCGCCCCTGCCTCATTTTCCCAAGAGACGAGGTTCTCAAAAATTCCTTTTTGGGTTGCTGAGGTGTAGCTGCTTCAGGCTTGAATGGGACAGTAGACCCTGCCTATTAAGAACCACGAGACTCTCACCCTGTTCTCTCTGGGAGTTGGTGAAGAATTTCCGAAACCTTCAGGGGTGCTTTATGTCAGTCAGAGGAGGGTGGAGGAAAGTGTCCTTCCATCGGCCCCTGATAGGTGCCTGGAGCCTCGGGTCCCAGAGGGAGATAGTCACTCATGACAATCATTGGCAGCTTTATAGCCTCTATTCTAGAAGAGGTAGAGTTAGTAAGTTGATTATCATGGGTTCAAATAATAGTATCACTAGTATAATTAATAATGGTGCTGCCAAGGGAAGAAGTAGACATATGAGTCATGAATTTGAATCCCAAAAAAGAGGTTGAACTTTTGATCCTAGATGCAGACTCAAGGATGCTTTGGATGTTTTGCTGGATCTGCCCTGACTTGTTAATGTAGATGCAACACCGTTCCTTGAGTTGCAAACATGGTTTCCCTGCTGAGTCTGTGAGGAGGTCTAATACCCTTCGATTTTGGAGGGGAACTCCAGCTCACAAGCCCAGTTGCTCTTGGCATGCTGCAAGCATTTCCTCTGTTTTAGTGCATGATTCAGCTGTTTCCTGTGATAGGCCATGGTGGATTCCTAATGAAGCACCCTCTACCGCTGCTCTCGTGGCAGAGAGAATCCCAATAAGTGATATGAGAGGAATAAGGGGACAAGCCCTATTGAAAGATGTCCTTGTCCTTGTAACGGGAATGGGAAGGAGGTGTTTTCCCACGCTATGGAAACATCAGGAGGAGCGTGCTCGAGGGAGCAGATTCCCCTCTGCTGTGGAGGGAGGGTCCAGGATGCCTGGCACCTGCAAAGCCAACGGAGTCCTGGCAAAGGGGATATTTCTGCCCTCGGTGATTTCTGCCAGCTTAACTGGCTGGGTTTCTACAGAGCCGTGTCTGCCTTTGACTGGCTGTTTGGTCCTTGGGAATTTAGTACCCCACCATTGTAATCCTTGTGCTGCCAGCGAGGCTGCGACCAGGGGGTCTATTATGGGATTGCAGAAACTTGTGCTATTTATGAATTCAGTAAAGAGAGAGTCCCTATTTGTTCCAAAATGTATGGCAGCCCGAGAGCCACTATACAGAGTGATAGAATCTTCTCTTTTTTGTGGGAGGAATTCATTAACTTGACAGGGCGGCCTGCCTTGGCAGCAAACTGGGTTTTTTGGTGAGTTTTTGTCTAAAGGTGGGCTGGGAACAGCTGACCTTGGAAAGTGGATATGTATGAAATTTGTTTTGTCCCCTGGGTTAGGAATTCCCCTAGAGATACAGGGTATTGTGGTGAGGAAAATTCCACGAGTAGCATTTGTGAGAGGTGGGGTCTGGGGTTAGAAAATTTTGTCAGCATTGGCTATTAGCAAGCCTTCCCACAGGCGTGCCTCCTGGCGTATTACGGACAATGCAAAAGGAGTAGTCAATCTG